CCCCCCCTTACGTCAGGTCTTTCCTTGCTGAATCTTGGATTAGTCTGCAGGGTTCTGGGAGGCTGGGGTAGAGGAGAGGCATTTAAGGGGGAAGCAACTATGGGGGGGGGGTAGCTATTTACCAATTGTATGTAAGTCTTTCTCTGTTTTTAACAACTGATACAGCTGTGCCAGTGAACACCATCTGCAAAGCTGCCCTGGTTCAATCGGCACAAGCCTCAGCATTTCTGATCAGTGACTAGAGAAGCAACAGCGAGCTTTGCCGCACATGATATGTATCCACGAAGATAGCAACCTGAAGATGAAGCCAACACAGGAGTGCACAGCTGCAAGAACCAGAGAAGAATGGAGAAGCCCCCCTAAAATCCATCCTACTTCTGGGTGTCCCATTCACCTGATGCAGTGCAAGTCCAATTTTCTAGCTTTTGCACCTGAAGGCATTGTATCTGCTGAAACCACCGAAGAGGCCCAGAGAGGTATTGTGAGGGGAGGGAGACCTGTTTCTGAGGGCCCTAGGGATCTGTTCTCCTACTTTCCAAAGACTTGGGTAATGCAGCACCCCCTTCTTTGTTGGAGGGTCTGGAGAGGGAACAGCTCAGCCACCCTTTGCCCCAGCTGCGTGTTGGGCGGCTGCAATGCTTGTTTATTAGTGAAAAGCATCTGATCTGAGAGGCCCGCCTGACAAGTTCATTACATATCATTTTAATTAGCTGATTTACATTTAATTTACATTTCAATTAATGTCTTTAGCGACAAAACGCCGCCTTAATAGGGTAATTGCCTGTTAGGCAATATGTAAAAGAATAAATAGTCACATTCTGAGGAAGAATTCCTATTTTCAATTTTTTATTACCATAAATAACTGAAATAATTATTGCTCTTAAGGGCCACGTCCTCGTTTCCTTCTGGGCCTAATTATAAAGACTTAGTACCTCATTAAGCAAAATGGTTTTGGAGCCACAGAAAAACATTACTCGAATCATGACTCATTAGTTTTGACAAAAGGGGAAAACTGTGATAGTAGTCACATTTGGGGGTGCTGGGGGTTGACAGCTAATACAGGGGACCCTTGTCCTCTCTGAGCCTCAACGGCTGATGGCAGAAGGTATCTCTGTTCTGCAGGCCTGTTGGGCTATGGTCTGGGGGTTGCTCAGATAGCTTCTTCTAGTATTTCTGCAGATGAGGAGCTCACTACCTCTTGAGGCAGACTCTGTAGAGCTCTGGATTTTAAGTTCTTTCTTAAGTTGAAATCTGGCCCCCTCCTTGAATCAACTGTGGTTGTTGCCTGGTAGAGAAGATGTTTTGCCAGGGGTATAATTATGAGCTAACCATTATTGTGTAATAAGAGACTCTGACCACCCAGAATAGGCAGGAATGGAAATGAATTGGAAAGGAGGGCAAATGATCCGAGAAATGGGGAGGAGACCCTGTATTTTGAGAGTTCAAGAGGAAAAGCTGCCATTCGCCCAACGCGAATACTAGAGGAGGGTAAGGGACTGGGGTTTGGGTCTGAAGAGTCAGACACCAGGGTCACAGTGCAAATAGGGCTAGCTTGTCCTTCAAAGGCGGCTGGCTGTTTAAGCTAAAAGAGTAAGTACTATGAATTGACAACTTTAGGGCCCAAGTAAGGGGTTCCTTTAGGCTAGGGTTATCCTTCCCCCAAGAACCATGGCAGTCATACTGGCAGCTCCCTGCTGGGCTGTCAACAGTGCCAGCGCGTGGGGGCAAGGTGCACCGGCAGCATGGGGTGTCCCGAGCTTAATCACCCGGCTCCGAAAGCCTGAGGGACCCCGGTTTGGATTTGATTCTTAGAGGGAAGAGGAGAGGACTCAGGAGAGAGACACTGGGCTTCCAGGAAATAACTCACCTAAGGGGTGAGGGAAGGGAGAATCTCATTAGCATTAGGAAAAAAGCGACCGTATTTGCACCCTAATATTTCGGGTGTGTTTACTCCAGTTAGTTGACCACTGGTCTTAGCTCTGTCCTCTCTCCCACCCTGAACCAGTTTGCTCTGTGTCAGCCCTCCAGCAACTAAATGATAGGCTTTGTTCCCTCCTTCCACCTTTGCTCACTCCCGAATCACATTTCCAAGGTAAATACCTCTAGCCCTTCAATTCTTCTTAACCACCTTTTTTTAGGGTATGGTTTTCAGATCCCTTTACACCTTAACCACTCAGGTCTGGAAGTTACCAGATTTGTTGATAGCCTTTGTAAAGCAGGTACCAAAATCTGAAGGCAAACTTCAGAATTAGTCCACACGATGCAGGGCGTAGAGCAGTGAGTCTCAGCCCTACCTGACCCAACGCTCCTTTTTCTATAAAAAATATTTTGTAACACTTCTTCATATGAAATTCACAGAAAATATAACTTGTGTATGTGTACAACTTTTAAAAATACATATATTATTCTATAAAGGAGAAATAAAAGGGAAGTGACATATAATAGGATAATCTGTATTTCCATATGTACATGCACAGGCACAACTACATAAAAAGATATAATGAAGTGGCCCTTGCTTTCATCTCTTCGTAAAATTACCTGAATGTGAGAACCGCTGCAACTGACTCAGTCAGGTATGTTGAATTGGTGATTCAGATACTGCCACTAGCTGAGAGACATGT